AGGGCCTGTTCGGCAAAGAGTTGGAGTTAGAGTTACCGGCATTTCATGCCCAAATATAGTAATAATATCTCGGTTTTCAATCTCGAGAAAACTCGAGTTACTCGGGCGAGTGCATGCGTTCGGATGCCTCCCAGTAACTCCGGGCGGTTGTTATCAGCTCAGGTCATAACTTATCTCGAGGCTCTACCCCTTTGGCAGCCTGCTTGATTCTCTCTCTATAGAGTATTGGGATGGCTACCATGACCGGCGTAGATTGTGATCAGACATCCGAGACCATCCTACTTGAGGGATTAGGGCAGGCTACTACCAAGGCCCGTCCAGTCAAAACAATGACAGTTACTGCTATAATAGCCTGTCTTCGGCGCTCTATTTGAGCCTGATGGATAGCTTGGTGAATCTAGACAGCTGCTCTTGTGTGGACCATGGTGAAGCAGGGATGAAGCAGAGCCCATCTAATAAGCCATAGCTATTGGTATACTAGATACATGTACAAGTTCAGGGCGCTTGTCTCCTCCGGACTTCACGGGTACTCCGCCCCTGTAACTCTAACTCGCGCAGAAATCCTCGGAAATGCCGCCACGTGACAAAATGCCGGTGACTCGTAACTCCAACTCTTTGCCGAACAGGCCCTTAATTTCCTTGACTCGTGCGGTCAGAGTTCAGCCAAGGAAAATATACTGCATGTTTGTGCTTGCAGGGTGTCGGTGGATTTGAACATGCAGGACCCGATGAACAAGAGTACATCTTATTCTGCATGACGTCAGACTGTATGGCTTCACGGTTGTTAGGATACTGTACGTCGAACGAATCCGAACGTCGACGCAAACCGTATGACATCATTTACTAACACAATAGGGAAACGGGTGGTTGTACACAGTACTGTTATTGCCCAGTGTATGTATTCGGTCTCTTTAACCACTACGTCTACCATCTCTATCCCGTCGTATGCTGGCCGTTCGCCTCTAGGGTTCTCAGACTCTATTGCTGCTGCAGTAAGTATGAGCCATTTTTTCTCCATCCACACCGATTCATCCAACGACTCGTACTTGCGACGAGTTCTCTGCGCAGCAGTGACAAATGGAGTCTTAACACACATTCACGGCTATCATCAGGTTGCATCTCGGCCTTCATAGTCTGAAGTGAAGCCTGAAGCCCTTCACGCCGCGAAGGCTATGTGCTCAGCAACCTCTGCATATGCGCAATTCTCCGTCGACACCGCGTTGGTCGAGTTTCCAGGAAAGGGAAGGCGGCTGTTGCCGACGCAGGGAACAGGAGAGACGGTGAGCATCTGACATGCGCCCCACGGCCGTCTTTGTACTCGCCCTTCCCTCGGTGTCCCCTTCTCGCCCCCTCGCCCGCCGATATCTCATCATCCCAGTGATTCAGCCGAGCATCATCTCCCGTAAGGCGCATCGATAGCCCACTTCTTCCTGGGACCGCCGTGCCCGCGTTAGGGCCGTCCGTGCAGCGAATCTACCGCCCACAGGCCCTCCATAGCTGAGAATGGTGCAGGGACACACAGCGCCGTAAGCGTGATGCATTCCTGATACGGAGATTCAGATGACACCGACAGTCGACAAGCTCCGGAGTGACCGCCAGACGTCCGAACGGGAATGGTATATAATTTCCCCCTGAGGCGGAAGCCTTGCAGTCCACACCCTCCCAGCTACCCAGCGTCTCCGTCTGCTACTTCTTCCACACCTGTTATACCTGGAGCCGTCGAGAAGATGACCACGGTTTCAAAGGAGAGTGACGTCGATGTTCTCATCATTGGTGCAGGCCCTGCGGGGCTCATGTGTGCGAACGCCCTCGCGATGGCGGGCGTGAACGTCCGCATAGTCGACCAAAGGTCAGCATGAGTGCACATACGGACCCAGCACTGTCTCACGGGAATTCCAGGCCAGCAAAAGTTCCTGCTGGGCAAGCAGACGGCATACAGCCACGCACAATCGAGGTGTTTCAGGTGAGTCGGCCGCTGCGATCTCTCGACTTTGGTGTTCACTTTATCTGCAGAGCTATGGCCTTGGCGAACGGCTACTCAGAGAAGGCAACCAGATGCATATGGCTGTACGTGACCGTCTAACTGCGCAGCTCTCACTAAGCTCACGTTGTACCGCAGGCCTTCTACAATCCCAGTCCGTCTGGTGGCATCGAGGTGCGTCGGAACATATCCAGTAGTCCTCCATCCACCTGACAATGAAAATGGACTAGCGTACGAGTCGAGCACCGGACGTCAACGCTCCTAGCGCGCGCTATCCCTTCGAGGTCGGTTCAAGAAAACCTCAATGCTTGCATCCAACAATCTGCTGAATCACATGCTTCCCAGGTCACACTACATCAGGGCGCCATAGAGTCGATCTTCCTGGACTCGATGAAGGCGCACGGCGTAGTTGTGGAGCGCCCTATCGTACCGACCTCCCTTGAGCTCTCGGAGTCCGAGGAGGAGCTGAAAGACCCTAATGCGCGTCCCGTGAAGGTTTGATATCCCTTCGACCATACATGAAGGGGGCTGATGTTGTCCTGCACATTGATATGCGGTGTTAGGTCGTCCTGAAGTACCTCGACCCACCAGCTGACGCGGGCGACTCGGAGATCGTCAACGCCAAGTTTGTCCTAGGCGCGGACGGTGCGTCTCCCGTACAGACGCAGCCGCGATCTATGTACGCGTACGCTGACGCGCGGGTGCGTCTCCCGAAACAGGTGCGCACTCCTGGGTGCGCAAGACGCTCGGCATCACACTTGACGGCGAGCAGACGGACTACATCTGGGGCGTCGTCGACATGGTCCCCGACACGGACTTCCCCGACATCCGCTCTAAGTCCGCCGTGCACTCGCACAACGGCTCGTGCATGGTCATCCCGCGCGAGGGCGACCTCGTCCGGCTCTACATCCAGCTCGCGGACCGCGACGTCGTCGACCCCGTCACTGGGCGCGTGGACAAGAGCCGGATGGGCCCCGAGAGGCTGATCGAGGTCGCGAAGAAGTCGTTCGCGCCGTACAGGATCGACAACGCCGAGGGGCACTTTGACTGGTGGACGTTGTATATCAGTGAGTGTACGCACCTTAGGGGCCGTTCTGTGGTGCTGATGGCGCGGGACAGTCGGGCAGAGAGTTGCGGCGCAGTTTTCGGTGCACGAGCGGGTGTTCATCGCTGGAGATGCTTGCCATACGCACTCGCCGAAAGCGGGCCAGGGCATGAACGCGAGCATGAACGACACGCACAACTTGGCCTGGAAGCTCACGCATGTCCTCCGCGGGTGGGCGGACATCTCCCTCCTGAAGACTGTCAGTAGTACGACCATGTGCGGGGACGCCGTCTGACATCTGGACTGTCGCAGTACGAGCTGGAGCGTCGGAAGTACGCGCAAGATTTAATCAACTTCGACAAGCAGTTCTCCAAGCTCTTCTCTGGCAAGCCTCGCACTGAGGCGAGCCAGGATGGTGTCACCCATGAAGAGTTCCTCGAGTGCGTATCTACACCCCGACGCTCGTATATGCGACCTCACGTTGCGCTTCAGAGCGTTCCAGACCTTTGGCCTTTTTACGAGCGGCATAGGCGTGCACTACGAATCCTCTCCAATCACCGCGGACCACTATCAATCCGTCGCCACCAAGCTGATCGTTGGCGAGCGTCTCGTCCCGCACGACTTCATCCGCGCTGCGGACGCGCGCCCGTACAACATTCAGGACCTTTTACCTTCGGACGCCCGCTTCAAGGTCCTCGTCTTCGTGGGCAACACCCCCGACAAAGCACAGGCGGCGCGCGTGCAGGCGTTGGCGGACTGGATGGTGCGGCCGGACAGGTTCCTGGTGAGGTTTGGGAAGGGAGACAGTGCGAAGGTGTTCGACATCTGGTCCATCAGCTCAGCCAAGAAGCGGGACGTGAACTACATCGGTACGTTGCATCCGAATGTCCTACGATGTCGGCCTCCCATGCTGAACTGTGGCTGCAGACCTCCCTCCTCTGTTCCGGCCACATTGGTCTCATGTTCTGCTCGACGACACGGACATGTACGCGCGCGTTGGGGGCGGGGGCTACGATGCGTACGGCATCGACAAGCAGGAGGGCGCGATCGTCATCGTGCGCCCCGACGGCTATGTGGGTATGGTTGCCCCTTATGAGCGCGTCAAGGATGTGGATGCATACTTCGCCTCGTTCATGACACATGCGTAGCATTAGGGAGGGATTACTAGCAATTAGGGGTTTCTAATGGCTTCTAATGGCTTTCTGGATGCGTGTATCGAAGTGTAGTATTAGTCATTGTATACCATTCTCTTCCTGGAGTAGTCTGGGGTGGGTGCGTTGCTTATGCCTGCCTCACCCTGTGTTCATTGAGGACGAGACACCTTGGCCAAAATCGCGGCCAGTGTCTGGCGCGTGAGGAAGGCCTCTAGGCGCCACCCGTGGGTTATCCATTCTCTTGCAACATCCCGTCATGTCTGTGATATTCCTCGACCCCCGGCAAACCCTCTGAGTACAAGGTCGCAGCTGCTCATTCATGACTTATTCCGTCGTTTTACCATCTTCGTCTGGAGTCTCTCCACTCTGTCGTATTCATGAGCTAGCGAGCCCGATCCAGTACCTCTGCAGTATCTACACCCCTTTCGCGGAGCACGCCCGAATGACTGAAGCATTGACAAGAACGTATCATGCCTCAATGCCGATGACAATGGTCAGGTCGCGCTGAACGCGCTGCACACGGACGAACTCGCGCGACTTACGCGATCCACTGGCTCAGTGGACTGTCTATACTTGCGAAGCCGTCTTGTAGCAGAAGGCTAGAACCCGCTATCGTGCGATGGATATACTGTATGTGAGTTCCCCTCAGTGCTCTTAAGAGGCTGTAATCACTGCTCTGAGATTGTTACTCGAAAATAGAGGAGGAAGCGGGGACGGGGACCCTGGGTCATGTATTTGCCCCACATTCTTTCACGCAGGCCACACTCGCGATCATGCACGCACATGTGATGGTCGATGAACGACGCAATCCAGGTTCAACGCGTTTTATAGTCGAGCAGCATGCGGCAGCGTCAGCAGACTTTCTTCAACTTCACATTGCACCCTAACTGACGTACAGACCCCAGAATTATAGCATGCAAGCTGGAGGCCATTTTGAGGCATCCTACGATGCTTGAGGTTCAAACTAACTAAAACGTAGCCACCCCTTCAGCACGATTTAGTCTCATCAAGCCTTCCGCCTCAGCTCGGGGTTCGCCATGTACTCTACCATCCCCTGATAGGTATCTTCAGGACGCGCATCTGGTCTGACGGTAACCGGGACGGTTGGCTCGACAATGCCCGCAACGAGGTTTGCGGCGTTCGTTCTCTTCTCCCATGCCGCTACGGCAGCCTCCTGCCCCTCCACGCTCGTCCCGCTGTTGATCGCGTCCGCGAGGACCATACCGAGCTCCAGGGCATCGAGCATTGCCAGGTTGGCACCCGCGCCTCAATTGGGCTCATAAACTGTGCCGCGTCACCGAGGATCGTCACGCCCGAGACGTGCTTCCACTTGTGGTCGAGCGGCATGTGGTACCTCGATGAGCTTGCGGAGGCTCGCCGCCTATTCCTTGAACCTCTCGAGTACGGCCTTGCGCGCCTTGGCGGGGTCACTCGGGAGCCTCCAGTCGGCCGGCCCAGAGAACCAGATGTACGTGCGGATGCGGCCGTCGCATTTGCACTGCGAGGCAAGCACCCTTTAGCCTCCTATCACTCCCATGCGGCCGTCGCCCACCATGCTGATGATGTCTTGCAGCTTTGAAATATTCGCAGCCTCCGGTGCGATGGAGATCTCGGTCCCGGTGACACCGTGATATAGTACCAATGAACGGCGGAAGAGGCGAGCGGACGGACGCGCGATTTGGCGCCGTCGGCCCCGACGAGGATGTCGACAACGGCGGTGTCGCCGTGCACGAACGTCAGCTCGCGCTCGCCGTTGCCGAGGTCGAGATGCCAGAGCTTGATATGTAGTGTTTACCGGGATCGTGTCGAGGAGGATCTTGCGCGGGACAGATCGATCGATCTCGGGGCGGACGTTCTTCGGATCCTTGTCTTCGTCGGCATCCTTGGCGAAGAGGAGGTTGCCGGTCGTATGCGTGGCAAGCGTCGGCCTCGGGGCGAGAGTTGCCCACCAAGGCCTCGAGGCCGTTCTCGCGTAGTGCGCGCTGGTCGGTTTCGTATCCAAGGTCCAGCATGCCTCCGAGGTGAGCGCGAGAGTCTGCGCTCGTCTCCCGTTCGTACAAGGTGCATGGGATGCTGCGACTGTGGAGAGTGAGGGCGAGTACGAGGCCGTCAGGCCCTCTACCGATGATTTCCATGCGAAGGTAGGTCGTCGTGGTCATTCCTGCTGGAGCTGCTTCAGACGGTTGTTTGTATTGTGTTGACGTACCTTTTCGCGATAAAATCACTGTTGAGGAGTCTAGTTGCGTCCCGCCAGAGGCGCTTGATGCCTGATGTCGTAGAGGGCTTATAACCTCGCATTGTTCGGCTTTCGCTGGCGTACGAAATTCATCGGCTCCTACTTTCTGCACATGAGCTCGCCGAAAGGATGCATAGCGTACAAGAAGCACTCTACTCACATGACGCCAAGGGCGGGGACCATGTAACCTCGTATGCGTGCGGATGGTTCGGATTTCCCTACAACGCTCCTACGTACTCACAGTAGCCAGCGGGGATGGACCCGCTGAAGTATGTGCCGGACAGGAGACGTAGTCCTCGGATACCAGCAATCCGTTATCACATCATGGGGTTAACAGAAATGTGGGATATCGGGCTTTGGAGGTGTGACGTCTCCCTTCCCCGTGAGGAGAGGAATTTCATCCTGTGCAGAGAAAGGGAGGTTTGACACCTCTATGGTGAAGTCTCGTTTATTCGATATTGCTGAATAGAATCTGCAGAGCCCATGCGGAAGACGGTCAATAATCTACAGTATAATGTGCAGCATAAAGTCCGTTTCAGTGGGCAGCCTGAGCACGCATTCCAGACAGAGACAATATGAAGTGACTAATATTTCCGATCCAGACCTATCAAGCCTTCCGCCTCACCGCGGAGTCACCCATACCCTTGAACATCGACTGAAGCATGCTCGCAGGGTCTTCCGTGCTCGTCCAAGCCTGGACGTTGGTATTGGCAATGACAGCGAGATGATTCGCTGCCTCCATTCTCTTCTCCTCCCATGCCGCTACGGCAGCCTCCCGCCCCTCCACGCTCTTCCCGCTGTTGATTGCATCCTCAAGGGCAATCCCGAGCTCCAGCGCATCAAGCATCGCCAGATTGACACCTGCACCCGCGGCTGGGCTCATGAGATGCGCTGCATCCCCAAGGATCGTCACGCCCGAGACGTGGTCGAGCGGCAAGCGGTACACGGAGCGTTGGTAGATCGCGTTGTCGTCGCAGTACTCGATGAGCCTGCGGAGGCTGGGTGCCCGGTTCTTGAATATCTCGAGCAAGACCTTGCGCGCCTCGGCTGGCTCGTTCAGGAGCTTCCAGTCCTCGGGACCGGCAAGCCATGCGTAGGTGCGTATGCGGCCGTCGCCGTTGACCTGTGAGCCGAACACCTTCCCGTCCCCGAAGGGCCACATACTGCCGGCGCCGACCATATTGACGGTGTCCTGCAGCTCAGGCTTCTTCGTGTCCTCCGGTGGGATGGAGATCTCGACCCCTGCGACGCCGTGGTATATCAGGACGGCCGATGAGACGAGCGGACGGACACGTGAGTTCGCGCCATCGGCGCCGACGAGGATGTCGACGGTGGCGGTAGAGCCGTTCGTGAACTTGAGCTCGCGCTCGCCGTTCCCGAGCTCACGCACGGATGCCAGCTCGTGGCCCCATTTCATGGTGTCGGCGGGGATGGCGTCAAGCAGGATCCTTCGCAGCACCGGGCGGTCGATCTCGGGGCGAAGGTCGAGAGGGTCCTGGTTCGGGTCGGCATCCTTGGCAAAGAGGAGGTTGCCTGCGGAATCGTATGTGCGGAATGTGTCCGCATCGGGGCGAGAGACGCGCACGAAGACCTTGCCGAGGCCGTTCTCGCGTAGGGCGCGTTGAGCGCTGTCGTACCCGACGTCGAGGATGCCTCCGAGGTGGGCGCGAGCCTCCTGGTCCGTCTCGCGCTCGTAGACGGTGTATGAGATGCCGCGGCGGTGGAGCGTGAGGGCGAGGGTGAGGCCGCAGGGGCCTCCGCCGATGATTGCGATGCGAGGATGGATTGTGGTAGCCATTCTCGTTGAAGCTGCTGTAGACGTTCGAGATTCAAGTCTGACATGTTAACACTGTACCCAGGTCGAAGTACCTTCGTCGACTGTTCAGTAGTGAAGATGCGTTGGCAGGAGGTGATTGGTGACTATGTACCCACAGGGCTTTTAATGTCGACTCGATCGGCATCCTGGACATGGACTGGTGTACGAAGGACATCGGCTCCTGCGGGGTGTACTCGCCCAATGAATGAATGGCATAGATATCCAGGCCTTCCTCGACAGAAGCCTTGCCAAGGTGTTCCTCCAACCGCGATGATCGCAGGATTCGGTTTGTTCCCTGCTGGGAAGAGAACGTTTCCTGGCATGGCTTTGAGAAGTAGCCTGCAGTCAGATGGATGCGCGCCAATCACGATGCCGATTAGCCACTTGTGTTATCAGATAAGACAAGATAAGATCACTATCCATTTCTCACCGACGGCCGCCGTTACGCACGAGCCGACTCGGAGGCGACGCGTAGTCGGACAGACTCAGGCCGCCGCGCTCAGCAGCTGCCATCGTATGTCGGTGTATTTCCTGGGATGCACGTCAGTCTGTTTCTCCGCTGGTCCGCCGATGCTAGGAAAGTGACGAGAACCTGGGGGCTCAAGTAAGGAGACTGACAGCTGATTGCGGGTGGTCAGACAGCTCAGATAGACGGATGCCGCGATCTAGCCCAAACACGTACATGGGAGAGAACTGTAACAGGCTGCATTAGTACACCTGCACGTATAGTTCGATATTACCTTGCACACCGTTTTCTGAAGCAGTCATTCTGGGCGTCGTGGTCGCGAAGTGCAGTTGAACTGCATTGTGCATTGTGCAACTTGCCACAGATTTCGCCGGGCCGGCATCACCCGCAACCGCGTTCATGGGCGCCTCGTACACATTTTCTCTCGTCTTGCGAACTCCCTCCCGTCATGTCCATCGTACCTCGACCTTTGATAAATCCCTTCGGGCTCGTCCTCGTCGTTGAATGACCCTCTCACTTATCGCTCCGCCATCTTCGAAGCTTCCTTCCGTCCGCAGCATACACGAGCGCCCACTCGAGGTGCTAGCGAGCCTTGTCGAGTACCTTCGCACCATTTACAACCCTCCCGTCCGTGGGACTCGTCGCATCGACCGCAAGGCTCTCAAGCGATCTTCTACTCTTTGTACTGGCGACGACGGAAAGGCAGCGCTAGAAGCGCTCCGCGCAGACGAGTTCGAGCGGGCGTATGCCGTCCGCTGGCTCAATGGACTCGTCTGCCAAGCCTCTCTACTTTCCGACCCACTCGAAGACAGCGCGGTCAGTGGGGACTCATACAATGTCGAGGACAAGGTCGACACTCTAATTCATTCGGCCACGGCTCTCATCGCGGTTTGCGCAGGGTCCGCCGCCCTCAGGACCCTTACCCGCCAGTACGCTTTCTACGCGCCTTCCCTCGAAGCGGACGTCGACATCAGCTTAACGGACCTCTCTATCTCTGTCGATGCCGACTCAGCGACTGTCGGGACGCAGACCTGGGGTAGTGCGTGTCTCATGGCGGAGATGCTGGTGGAGGAGCCGGGCAAGTTCGGCTTGACAGACGAGGTGCTGAGTCGCGCCGAGGGGGTGCGGGTACTAGAGCTCGGGGCGGGGACTGGGCTGGTCAGCCTTGCCGCGGCGAAGTACTTGTCTATGCGCGGGGTGAAAGCCACCGTTGTCGCGTCGGACTACCATCCTGCTGTGCTCAGCAACTTGGCGCACAACATCGCAGCAAACTTCCCTCCCCCTTCACCTGCATCGGCGGATGTCTCGTTATGTGCACACGCGCTCGACTGGTCGAAGTTCTCCCTTCCCGGGACGGCGCACCATCATACCGCGGAGCCGCCTTTTGATACGCCGTTCGACGTGATCCTGGGTGCGGACATAATCTACGAGCTCACGCATGCGTTGTGGATCCGCGATACCGTTGCAGCCCTCCTCCCTCCCTCGCGATCGGCTCCGGCACATGCACCAGCTCCTCGCTTTCACCTCATCATTCCCCTCCGTCCAACGCATACATCCGAGTCGCACATGGTCGAAGAGGTCTTCCTTCCAGCCAGTATCGGTTCTGCTCGTCCCTCGTCCGAGTTGGCGCTATGCGTGTTGGAGAAAGAGACCATTCTGTGCGAAGTGGAGGATGCGCGTCGCTCGGAGGTGGAGTATGTTCGTTATGTGATTGGGTGGGCCTAGTGAAGTTGGCTGGAATGGTCCAGATGTTTTCATAGTTTTCGTGTGGGCCATGGGTTGATGATGATAGAACTAGATGCATGCATAGACCTGATAGGCCATAGACAGGCTAGACTGAGGTATGTATCTTCTCGGTGATAGATGTCTTCCTGATGTGTCGCTGTGATGCCTTGCCTACTTGTAGCTATCAAGCGTATTATCGGTAATGTTATTCTGCGTCGCAGAGTACTTACAACTCACCAGTATTATTCTACGCTCGGTGAGTGTTCAGTCATCCTAGGACCGCTCTAGGTGCACCTTGCATGGATCAGTCGCATGCCAATATGTCACTGTCATGATGCGATGTATTATAAACGAGTCAAATATTACAAGTAAGTGTTACGATCCTTTTTGCTCTGAGAGCTTTCTTAGTCGACCTCACTGTTGCTGTCATCCTATTCGTGCCCGAAGAACGAGTGAACGCCTCAAACAATTCGATGCCTTGCTCGAATACGACCGATCCGTTATGGGTCGCAGTTGAGACTTGCGAGGAGGCCATATTCATCGCTCGGAGATTGGCGGACTGAAGATGGGAATAGGGGGAGATCGCTCACATGGGCGACAAGCTCGGCAGCTTTCACGAAGACATGGTCACCGCTCTTACTGTCAGCGAGGTTGCCTCCGCGTCAAGTCGAGTATCTCTATCGCCGCATGATCAGTGCGAGGCGCTCGCTGGAGTGGGGCCCGATAGCACAATCACCAACTCGAACGTTCTACTAATGCGATGCATCCAGCGGTCCGCGACACATCGCAGGAAAATCAAGAGCCTGGAATTGGGACTCCGGGAAGAATAACTGCTGCGGAATGTTCAGGGTGAAGATTACACAGTATTCTATAATGGTGATGCACAGTATGCCGTAGGAGCGCTGGAAATGCGATGCAAACCTTCTGCAGGGCGTGAATCGGACTCATACTCACCCGTACTATCAGGTCCGTGTGGGACCCGTTGAAGGTCAGTGTAATCTGGGTCTCCCTCGGCCATTGTCCAAATCGTTCCCCGGGAGGCCTCGTTAACAGTACTTTCCCCCTCTTTAGCAGATTCGCCGTACCCAATGCTCCCGCCGATCGAGCCTATAACTCTTGCAAATGACAGGGTACCTGATCCGGCGTCTGAGGTCGTGCTGTAGCCCTGCCGGCTTCGCGTATCCAGGTACAGCGTGCGCTCGCTGGTTTCTTGTAGGTCGAGCAGAAACCGAGAGATCAATACGCTCGATATCCTGTCATGTGGTGTAAGAGCTTCCGGTAAAGACGACGAAGAGTGGACGGCGTACGGTTCTGCGAAGGCTGTGATCATGCTAGTGTTGATTCCATCTGGATTCGAATAACCCTGCAAGTGCGACATTGAGCGAGTATTGGCATTAGTGCTGCGGTGAGGCGCACCACGAGAGTGAGAGATAGATGGGCTATATGGAGAGCCAACATGACTCTGCAATTCGAAGTTAGCGCGATAAGGGCATCGACGTTCAACCAACACATACAAGAAGTATCCAGTGCCTGGGAGACGCCACAAGAGGATTGGTGGTGAGACGATGGCGGGGATAATAGTAGATAAGAGCTCACCGTTGACGAGCATGACGTACGACAGAGTCCGCTTTCCGAAGAACATCCCTCTCGCACCTCTCCGGTAAGTTGTCCACCATGTTGTTGCAAGGACAGTGATGTCTGCAAGTATGAGACTCCCACGAGACACGCTCACAACTAAAAGGAGCTAATGAATGTGAATCACCGCCAGATCATCATAGGGTGTACGTACACCTATACGGGTATCAGCAGTCACCATGAAGCATGACATGCCAAGTTGCTTACACAGTAGACTGCAAAAGCGTGACGGGGGCTGTCGATGCCATTCCACACCCATAGAGGGGATCCACAAGGCCAGTCACTCGCATGATACCATAGTACGCGGCCTGTTGTCGCAGATTCAAATTAAAGAAAGGAGAGGGAAGAATTTAAGGGTTCGTCTGACCATGTTCACCAGGAAAGGAGCAACGGACAACAGGCCGACCGCGCATGTAAGAAGCCAGCTCCCGCTTAATGCAAGCACCCGCAGGGCAGAAAAGGCTAGAGAAACTGACTGTGAGTGACAGGAGGCGTTGTGCTGTGCAGCGACATACCTCCCCAAATGAGATACTGGAGTTCATCGAAGATCACATAAGCCTTGATGAAGTCGGCGCAGCTTCATTTGGAGAGCGTCAGAAAATTGGCGTCGCGGGTCATTCATTCGAGATAGGCCCATACCTCTAAGACAGGTGAGTCAAAAGAATCTTAGGAACCGAATCATTGCTCACCGTGCTTGACGTGATGTAGCCTTCGACGATTATAGAAGCCCTCAGAGCGAGCGTGAGGTACCGGTTGAGGAGGAACAGAATGCCAGCCCCCGTGAGCTGTCTTCTCCAAAATAAGTCCACCTCGAGGCTGAGTGTTATGGTGTACTCGTAGGTGACGAATGCTACCATCATGAGGCAAGGTTAGTCCCATGCTGATGGTATTCAAACATAGGCGCATACCGAGCAAGGCATCGTTGCAATAGTTCCCATTAATGCTTCAGTCACGATCGTTGTTCTTTGTATCAGAGGTTGAACCCGATCGCAATCTACGAATGCAAGACTTACATGCTCTCGATCATGGATATGATTCCGGCGGAGGAATCTGCCATGCTTGATTGGCACTTTGGGTCGAGGAGAAGTCTGACGGAGGGGCGGCAGTAGCATTGATCCAGGATGACCCTGAAGTACTCGCTCGTTTTATAATTGACGGTCAATAATGCCACGTGCAGTGACTTAGCACTATGTCCATGTCCGGGTGAGACCGAGATGTGTCGAAGGAGGTCATAAAGAAAGGAAGAGATGGCGCCTAGAACCCGCCATCATTAGCGCTCAGCGGAATGCCGGTCCATCGGAGCGCCCCAGGCCTCAACTGGCCGAAACTCGACTAGTCTCGAGAACACTGCTTCAATCTCAGTATTTGGAGTGGTCTATGCAGTCTGTCCGAAGGACGGTTCGATAGTATGCGTAATGCAGGTGAGTCGAATAGTTACAGTTACACATGGAGTACGTCTCATACCGACACGTTACCTTCGACTTGGAAACCCATAGGACCTATCGAACAGTATTTCAATGTGTACACTCGCACAGGTCTTTGCAGCTGGGTAATGCTTGCCGCGCGATATGAATCGTACGCGGGAGCTCCACTCTGTCTTACAGACAAGCCTACTCTATTTGCGGCCCTTGAGAAAGTGGTGCGCTGTCACGCGGCCCTCCATGCTCGCCTACCTCCTCTGAGTGAATCTCCAAGGTGGACGCACATCTCGTCTGTAGAATTGAACGAGGTGGTCCACTTTATTGAGGAGGATCACAGTGACCTACAAGAGATCATAGAAGACTGCTTTGACCACGACATGGATATCTCCGAGGACAAGCCGCGCTGGAGACTGCTCGTCCTGCGCGACGGCACTCTTGTGTTCTTGTGGGACCATTCCATCGGGGACGGGCAGAGTGGCCTCGCGTTCCATCGTGCGCTCCTCGATGCGCTCAACAGTGTACCAGAGCTGCCCGCCAGCCACTCGGGTGTCATCACTCCACTGCCTTCGGACCTCGCGCTCCCGACATCCCTAGAGGACGCGGCTGGGCGTCAGATATCAGTACCGATCCCCATGCTCGTCCGCGTCCTCGCGGAGGAGTACCTTCCCTTCCTCTTTGCCCGTAAGAACGCTGCAACATGGACGGGCAATCCCGTTCCTTTAGAGCCTAGTCTCCATACGCAAGTTCGCATCCTCCACTACTCACCCTCCGACACGTATACGCTTCTCCGAGCAGCACGGGCGCGCCGAGCGACACTCACTGGTACACTTCACACACTCGCCCTCGTCGTCCTTTCGCGGCTCATCCGTGCGCTCCTTAATGGCGAGGAGCGGAAGTTCAAGGCCATCGCGACCTTCATCCCTATCTCGATGCGCCGGCATACGGGCACGCACGCAACGGAGATATGTGTACAGGTCACGCACTACGAGGGACATCAGCCCATGCTTCTCCCGGACACGGGCGACTTCCCGTGGGATGTCGCGGCCGAGTTCACCGGGACTCTTCAGCGTGCCATCGTTTGCGCGGGGCCTGTCACCGGGATGCTGAAGTACCTCTTCGGGCGGTATGAGGAGTACTTGGAGGGTCACCTCGGGAAAAAGCGCGGGTCAGGGCTGGAACTATCGAACCTCGGTCCGTTCCCTGGCTCCCCTTCTTCCGGGACCACGGATCTGGAGAAGAGCGACGATGGAGCGGGCGATTCCACAGAAGTGCTTGCGGCACGATGGAAGATCAAGGAGATGACGTTTGCTCAAGCGGAGGTGCTGGGATCAGCGCTCAAGTTGAACGTTGTCGGGTCACCGGAAGGTGGGCTGGGGATGACGGTTTCCTGGGGCACGAGCGCGGTGGACAAGGAGCTGGCCGAGGCGTTTGTTGTGGGGCTGCACGACGGGCTTAGGGCATTGATCATAGCGGCTTCGGACTTGGAAACACGGGACTGATACCTTTATAGACGGGCATGGGTATCTAGAGGCACCGGTACGCTACTATTAGAACGAATCTGGTATAGAAGCAGGACAGGGACACATTCTCAGGCCTCGCTGATTGTTGGGAAGTGGGATCGCTCGCCTCGTGATGCTTGCCTATCCTCGCTCCATCCACTGACAAAAATGCATCCCATCGAGCAGTCCGAGGGTCAGAGTAGCTGGTGCTGTCTGCACGGTTACAGGCGCAGAGTGTGCATCCGTTTGTGAATCAATATTGAGGACGGGACCATGGGTATAAGAGCATTCACTTCACTAGTAGTAATTACTGGGTCGGGTCGACTGGTAGACTGCTGTCCTCGTGGCGCTCGCCATCTATGGAACTGATCGTGGATCCCAAGGAGTCGATGAAACTGCCGAAGCGAAGCGTGCTCGAAGTCGCGACCACGTCGGTATATGGGGGGCTATCGGAGTCCTGGTCCAGGACCGCGCGGCGATTGACCAATTGAAGGTCGAACAGAAATCGGGTGATGAGGACGCTTGTGATGCTGCAAGTGAAAATGAGTAAGGTGAAAGGAGATACATCATTGAGGAAAAGTGCGTACGGCTCGGAAAAGATCGTGACCTCACTGACGTTGAGCACCTGCAGGGATATCAGTCAAATAAATTTTTCGCTCCTTATAGTTATAGTAAAACGCGAATTATTTCGCCCAAATGTTATAGTGGCCCCTCCAAATATTTGAGAGGGTTGGAGAGATGCCCCTCCCAGATATTTGAGGCGATCCCCAAATAGTTGGGATGTATGTAGGGAGCAAGGGGAGGAGGGTACTCCCCTTCCACCAAATATTTGCCAAATATTTAGAGTCAGCATTATATAGGAAGGACCATGCTCTGCGTGCGCCGTGGGTCCCCCTTGTGATTACTCCAAATATTTGGTATATAATTCACCCGAATATTCTCCATTTGGTACGGTAGCATGCCCTGTAACGTGAGTGCTCATTCTGGCTTATCTATTACATGCTCGACTATATCTACTGCGGGCAGACGACAAGAGAGCGTGACCGCACACCGGACACCGTGCGTCGTGCACCATATTGAACAAACGATCGCGATTGACAACGAGCAACACTGATAGGAGATGCACCTTCCAG